GGTTTTCATGAGCTGTATGCCATAATCATCAGTATTAAAACAATTAAAGACCTGAAATATTTCAGTTGGTGTGCAATGAATCTGAAATATATGAAAGTTTCATTTTTATCATTACATTATGGAAAATAATGACCTTTATCACAATATGCTCATTTTTTGAGAAGGACCTGTACAGGAGTATTTTGAACTGGATTCGAAAGTGAACCGGTAACCAGTGCAGTGAGGCCAAAACTGGTGTAATGTGCTCTCTTTTGCCTGTACTGGTTAAAAATGGGGCTGCTGCATTCTGGACCAGTTGTAGTCGTGCAATGGAGGTCTGACTGATACCAAACAGGAGTGAATTGCAGTAATCAAGCCCAGATGTAATGAATGCATGTATTACTGTCTCCAGGTTCTTTTTGGACAATATGGGCTTCAGTTTAGACAGCCGCCTCAGTTGGAAGAAGCATGATTTAACAATCATGTTTACATGATTGTTAAGTTTCAGGGAAGGGTCCATTATCACTCCCAGATTAGTGACTCTTTGTTTTTCTGACAGGGTTAGAGCGGAGAGGTCGATGCAGCACTGTACTGTAGTACTACACCTTCACACTCTGTTCTTTGAATTGAAAAATCTCCTCGGATGAGAAGTGAAACGTCTTCTGTTATAAAATAAAGTCCATTTGTTTTTGTCTTAAAATGATTTGAATAATACTGTAGTATTACTGTAGTATATCTATCTTCATACTTGTGAGTAAGTACCAGAGTCTGGGCGCTGATGGAGTTCAGGTTTGACAGGTTTTCTTCCAGAAGTTTCAGCTGATCGGTGATGCTGTTTTCAAACTGCTGCACCAACGACAACCTGTACACAAGCAAACTATCAACACACATGATTGCACGCATGCACACCCACCCACACACACACACACACACACACACAGAACTGCTTTGGACTTCCTGGGCAGAACCTGTGTTGATGGACGGCTGTGAGCAGAGAGGAGACGTGTTGTTGATATTCTTTTACAGACTGAACAGCTTCAGCTTTAGCTTTCTGCCAACAGCCCTGTAAACATGTCAAACATTGATAGGTACTGATCAGTCAATCATTTCAGCCAATAATCAATAACCTTGATCAGCAGGTGTGGTTACAGACTGTGAAGTGCTGCTCCAGCTGCACTTTGAAGGCTTTGAAGGCAGCTGTAAGGTCAGAGGTCAGCTGGAACTCTGGTTTCAAGCCCTGCTCAGACTCAGCCTGGCCCACCTTCCACTCCCCATCTTTCAAGAGACCCTCCTCTACATTTGGCCCCACTCCTTCCAGTGATTGATCTATGACCAAGTGAGCACCAGTAACTCAAGCATATTTAAACTTTAAATAACTCAGCTCCATTTTAAATATATACCAAGTAATACTGAGGTAGACTCCGCCTCTTCTTTATGATGCTCCGCCTTCTTCTTGTGAGTCGAAACACCTTCAGTTTGGTCTGACAGGTAGCCTGTCCAATGTGTGACAATATGTTAAGTGTTTGTTTGAAGGACATTAGCCCTAAAAATAATAATAATAAATAAAATTCTGACTTAGGTCAAACCACAAAGACAAAATAAAACCAGGGAGACCTGAATCTTGAGCTTCTCTCTTCCTCAGAACTTCCTGCAGATTTAAAGAAAATCAAGTAAAAAGATCAGATCCAGTAAAACATCAGGCATTATTGAAAGGATAAAAAAATTTATTTAGACCTTTGTTGAAGAACAGCAGCTTTTGTCGCCAAACAAATAATTCTGTTCTGGTGACTTTTGTAGCATTGCACCCTTTACAACACCTGGCACTGATACATACAGGTCTGGCTGATGAGGTTCCGACATGCTGACATCATCAGGAGAATCAAACGGTGACATCTGGAAAAAGTCTGAAGACACAAACACAAGAGTAAAGTACAGGTCCTTCTGAAAAAATGAGCATATTGTGATAAAGGTCATTATTTTCCATAATGTAATGAT